ATCCAACGTGAGTTTTCTTTCATTAAAAGTTCATAAAATGCTTTTAAATGACAAGAAGAAAGCACCAGGCAGGGGTTTGGCCTTCTCCACTCTATCCCACATTCCTACACCATATTTCCTTATGCTCGAGTGCCCTGTTGGGCTCAGGAACAGGATCTATTTCCAAATCTCAAAAACTTTCAGGAAAGTCTTCCCAGACTCCCCTCAGTCCTGCCCTCTGTGCACCAAGGGCCTAGGCTGCTCAGAATTCTCTATGTGTTTCCTTAGATTGGTACTTAAATCCTCCAGGCACAGAGGGAAAATTCACCATGAGCTCTCTCTGTCTCTTCCTTCACCCCATCCCTAACTCCCAGAGGGACAGAGGAAGTGCTCTTTAACCTCTACCAGTTCCTACATGTGTGGCTCCTCAGAAGTAAAGCTAATCTGCACCCTACTGAGAACACAGCTATGACACTCTGCTGTCAAGAGGTTCACCACGCAACCTTCCCATGTGACATTTATCTGCACATCTGTCTTTCTAGCCACAGAGGGATTGACATGTAACAGCAGCTCTCCTTCAGAAGACTAGTAATGGCTGTGGTTTGAGAAACTACCGGGGTGTCTATAGTTTCTCAAAACAACTTAAATGCCCTCTTGATTTTCATAAGCAGCCCTGGGATCAAAGGGGGCAGCCTGAGACCATGCAAGTCACTTTGGAGCAAATCCACACAGTGCCCATAGACTATCAAATTGTATATATACATCACACATATGCATATACCATCTACATATGTGGATGATATACACATATGTGATATCTGGGTCCCTTCATATTGAAATCGGCTGCTTCTGGCTAAATGTGGCTAAGAACTCAGCTCTTCATCTGCAGCCCAGGACAGAAATGCAGCTCAACACGGTAGAAACTGTTGAGTAATGTCAGTTCCATTTAGTACATCAAATGTCATCAACAGAGAGATTAAGGAGCCTTCAAGAGCCAGTCACTATGATTAGTCATTCCCAGGCATGTGTAATCCTTACGATAAACTGAAAATGGGCACTAATATATCTATTTTACAACTGAAAAAAAATGGGGAAATTCATCAAGATATGATGTCATTTGCCCCAAGTAGACAAGTCACTATCTAAAGATCCTCCACGCCCAGTTTCTCTTGATGAAACCCCAGGATAAACTCCCAGCAAATTTCCCCAAAAAAACACATATTTTTATCTTGAAATCCTGACTGTCGGCAACTCTGAGTTCCAAAGAATAAATCTCATGCTCACTGGGTTAGCTCAAGTCTTGGGAGAGAACGAGTTGGGAAGGATGAGCTGAGAGAAGACTTGAGGACAGAGACTGTGTCTGTCCTGGAGAAGGCCAACTTGTGCGTGTACTCAGAGGGTATCTTCGGCAACCACCGAAGTTACCAGCTAAGACCCTCATCGTGGAGAACAGAAGGTGGAACCTGCCCACACCAGTAAAGGTCTATGCAAATCCAAAGAACTAGACACCAGCACACCTGCTTTGATGTCATTCTCAGGACTTTTTTGGACAGCACTTGAAAATCAAAATTTTATAAGCGAGCACAGAAATAAGACCAAAAATTATGTTCAAATCCTTTATTTGGTGGTGTTTGCTCCAGATTTTAAAGTATAAGGGTGGTTAGAGTGAGTTTGAGTCCTGAAAAGAAACATCTTAGCTAATCTCAATGCAATTTTAGAGACATTGGTAAGGAGCGTGTTTGTAGACTACTAAGACTTCCCCTTTCGAATATGTATTTATAAAGACAGAAATGAATTGTTTTCCAAAGACCAATATAAAACCACTGAAAAATAACATTCTATACCACTTCATTTAGTATTGTCACTAATAAGATTTTATAGGGCATACATATAAATATGTATGTACACATTTAAGTGTATATACATGTTACCTGAGCTGTTTGAAGTATGGTTATGTTGTGCAATGTTTTACAAAACTACCATGGACAACACAGACCTCTATTTTACAACGGACAATATTCCCCAAAGGTAGGTTTCTCTCTGATTTCATACACCATTTATTGTAACCATGAAATGAGAATGGCTTGAAGTTAAAAAGAAATAAAAATAAAGAAAACATAATTAATACATTTAAACCCATAATGAGATTTGTTCTGGAAAATCCAGGAGGATTATGTACAGGCCTCCAACTCCAAGCACAGGGAGCCTAAAGCTGAGGGTTCTTCCACTGAATATTTAAATTAAGGTAATGGAGGAAGATCCATTTCCTAAGCCACAGAGAGCTTGAACACCAGTCAAGAAACACACATGCCACTGTCCAGATAGTCAATATTCTCAACTGCTGGTACAATATAGCAGGATTTGAAAGAGTTCCCTTTCTCCACCTGCTAATGCTTGGCAAGAAAGCTGGCTAAAGGAACAAAAACTAACATAATATTTTTAATTGATTTTAAAATTATTTTGTTTAAAAACCTAAAGCTCACTGATTTGAAAACTATTGATTTTAGACTATATTCCAGTGCTCTCCTCCATTTTATTTAAGTATAGATAGCCCTATAATTATATTACTCAATGAATTATTCATACAGAATAATACAGAACTCTAAATACATAAAACTCATCGCTAAGGATCAGAGAGAATAAAACCCTTGCCACTTAAGAGGCGGCCAGACACTCGCCCAACCAATTTATAAGCTGTGATATATCAATGTGATCAACATTGAGTGTATTTTGGGTCCTTTAAGGAACAAAAGGGAGGACGTCCGTTTTCTGCCACGTGCTATTCCACCAGGGACATGCTGGAAATCCTTTAGCATGAAAACCTTTCAAATACAACCCGCCGCAGCAAAAACAGAACATTGGGCTCCTATCTGATTCATACCGTCAGTCACATTTTGAATAACAAAGGTAAACCAGCATCTCCTCTTTAAAAAAAAAATCTGAAGGTCCATAAACTGGGAAATATATCATTTGAAAGAAAATCTGACATCAAAGGACTATCATGGTTGCTGGGGGGGGGAGCATTATGAACTTGGTGCTTCGCCATCTTCTTCCCAGCAACCCTAGCTCCCATCTTCCTCCCCACCTCTGTGGGGTTTGCCTCTTGGGATTCTTACTGAAACAATAAAGTAGGAATCAAGAGAATTCGGAAAAGGCTTAGGCTGCTGAAAAGGTAACCATTTTCTCACGCTGGCTTCTGTAGGCCATCTTGTTCGTTTAAATGCCAAGATGTCTTAATCTGTCCCAGGTGGTATCACCAGGGGCAACACCATCGCTGGTCTGAGACTAATGTTCCTTGGTCAAATGACCCGCAATAAAGAGCTGTCAGGCAAACAGTTAATTGATGCAAACGAAGAAAGCCACCATCCCTGCAGTGAGATACATTAGAACAGAAAGAACAATGGACAGTTCTAGAAAGAAAAAAAGCGGTGTGCGTTAAAAAAATAAAATAAAGCCACAATTTCCCTCGCTGAAAAGGATGCTAAATATTGGGGGGAAGGGGGTTAACTGAAATCTGATAGAATCAGTAAGATTGGCCTGGGGGGGCGGTGGGGGGAGAAGCACGCACATCACCACGACGGGGGCGGGGAGGGGGTGTCATTTGTGTCCAAGGGTTTCATGAAACATTTAGGGCAAACGCCTTTGTTCCTGGCCTCGGGAGGGTAGTGGGTGGATGGATGATGGGGAGATCAGATGGGGCTGCCTGGCCCTCCACACCCTGCTCTCTGGCGCATGCGCGAGGCCAAGACAAAGGAATAGGTAATTACAGTCCCGATTCATTCATTTTGCCCGCAGTACTGGAGGTCTGTGAGCCTTTGCTGTGTTCCCAAGGGTGGAGGTTAATCCACACCCCATCAGCAACCCCTTTAATACTCGTGTTTCATTTTGACCCCGCCACGCAAGTGGCCAGCGGTATTGGCTAAGACAGAGGTGTGTCAACCCCCGTACAAAACACTGAATTTGCACCCATGTGCGTCGTGCTCCTTTCAACAGAGTGAAAATCACTGGGGCAGAGGCCGTCCACCGAGTTCGTCTCAAGGCGGAAATGTCTCGGGGGAAGCAGATTAGGAACAGGGCCAAGCGTTCGATGAATATTCATGAAAAGAATGCGGTCCCCAGCCACGCATTGTGTGCCATCGGATCCAGGCATTCTGCAATAATTTTCTTTTAATGGTGAGGGGAAGCGGGAAACCGGCGTTGGGTTGTAGCCTTTGAGCTACGGGCAAAAATCTACAGAAATCTTGGCTTGCAGCAGGGTTGAGCCCGTTGGGGCCGCGCGCTGTCAGGTTCAAGCCCACACCCCCTAGGCTGGGGCGGCGGTGGAGGCGCACGGCGGGTTCTCTGAGCGCAAAGGCTCAAAAAGGAAAATGCTGGAGATGTCCACAGGTTAGTGGGAAAACAGCTCAACCGCAGACCGGCTTGGGGCTTTGATCTGCCCCGGACGTGCACACCGCCTTCTGAACCTCGTGTTCCTCAGTTACCCCAAACCAAGATCCGAGAGTCCCGCGGGCCAAGCCAACCCCCGCCCCTTCTGATCGGACCAGATTCCGTATCTTCTTTCTCTCTCCCCACCCCACCCCCACCCTCCATCTTCTGCTGCTGCGCCCCTCACACGGAGGGCTTTCTCCGTGGCTGTGCGGGTTCCGATGACAGAAGACTGGGTTCAGCCCACAAAACCGTGGCTGGTGGATACGATGGGTTTAAAAGGGTTTCGCACTCGGTATTTGCCGGTCACCAGCAGCTTCCCACCATCCCTTCCCTCCCTTCCGAACTCGGTTCATCAGCCTCGCCACCACCCGCCTCAAGCTCCCCACCCTATGAAAGGCCGAAGCTGTCCACCTGGGGGGATAGCATCACCCTGAATCCCCCACATAGAGAAGCCCCACGCCCACTGTGTCTGCTCCCGGCCGCACCCAGCTGCACCCGTGTAGAACCCTGGGCTTCAGGGTGGGGCGGGGCCCTGGGGAACCGATGGCCCTGAGTCCGCTGTGGCGTTAGGGATCCACGGCGCGCCTCCTTACCTAGGCTTTGGGTGCCTGTGCCCGCCCTGGGTGAGCGCGGTGCCTCCAAGGGGCCCGGGTGGCTGGCGTCGTCCGGCCCGGTGCCTGGCTGCTCGGCAAAGGCTCTCTCCTGGCTCGACGGCGGAGCCCGGAGCGTGGAGCGAGTTGGAGCGCTGCCGCCGCCGCCGTCGCCGCTTG